TGCAACACGCCGAAGGACCTGCAAGCTGGCAGAAGAACTCCAACGAAGAGAGAAGTCACAAGCGCAATGATGTCCACCTTCGATCCAATGGGTTTTGCAACACCGGTTCTAATACAAGGAAAGATACTAATCCAAGACATCTGGCGAAAGAAAATAGACTGCGATGAACCAATTAACGAACAACAAAAGGAAGCCTGGATGAAATACTTAGAGGAAGTATCAACATTAACAAGGCTGAAGATCCCAAGATGCGTCTCACCCAAAGGCAGAAAAGGACAGTTACTTACATTCACCGATGCGAGTGAAGAAGCCTATGCAGCAGTAGTCTACTGGAGAATAGTCGAGCCCGGAGGAAAAATCCACGTTTCCATGATCGCCGGCAAAGCAAGGGTAACACCGACGAAACCAGTATCAATTCCGAGGTTAGAGCTACAAGCGGCTTTACTCGGAAGCAGACTAGCCGCTACAATTGAAGAGGAGTCAGAGCTCGAAATATCAAAAAAGATTTACTGGACCGACTCCAGCACAGTACTGCAGTGGATAAAGTCAGAACCAAGAAAACCGACTCGCTGAGATCGAAGAGAAGTCCAAGCCAGAAGACTGGAGGTGGGTACCAACTAAGGAGAACCCAGTAGACGACGCCACGAGGGGAACAATCCAATTCCTATCCAAAACCAACCAAAACCAATCCAAAACCAAAACCAATCGAATTCGACCATAACGCCAGATGGTTCAAAGGCCCGTCATTTCTCCGTCAACCAGAAGAATAATAATGGCCAAGAAGCAAACTGGAGAACCACCCAAAGACTCGCAGACCACTTCTGGAAAAGATGGATTAAAGAATATTTACCTCTCCTAATGCCAAGGAAACTCGAGAGGGGAAACAAGAGACCCAAGAGGAGACATTGTGTTGATAGTGGACGCTACGTTACCACGAAACTCATATATGCGCTGGACGTGCGGACATCAGGTGGAATACTGCGCCGTCCAACTCGACGTGTCATCGTGCTGGTGCCAGCGGAATCGTCGCCTCCAGAAGATGAAGTGCTACGCATCGTGGGGGAGAATGTTAGCGACAAGTGAATTTAAACATTTAATCTCGATTGTTTCTTATTTGTGATTTTTGTGAAAGCTAAGTGTAAAGACTGATAGCGTTAATACCAAGAAAGTGAATTAATTACTTATATTAGCTACAATTTCAATTTCTTATTTCAAAACTACGTAACGTAAGTTAGTAACAAAGTCTGTAACGAAAATACGAATCTAATTGCTTATTTAGGTTTAATTAGAATGTTGGAAACGAAATATGAGTTTAGTTACTTATTAGAACTTTCTCTTATTATAATTTTAAAGAGCTGTATTAGAGATATTAACATTTAGGTATAAATTTAATGATTTGTTCGATTCTTTTTCTTTTGTAGTAATTTAAAACGATAATATGTCAATTAATCACTTTTGTAATCTAATTTCTCATTATAAAAATAGATTTTAATTTAATAAGAAGTTAAAATATATTCTGTATAGAATCTTAAGCATAATATTATCATGATAAGCATTGTGCATTCCTGCCGCCTGGCGGCGCTACTTGTATGTTAAGCGGAAAAAGCTTAGCTACTCCGGAGCTAAACCGTAGGAAGACCACGCGACTATTTTTATTTTTTACAAGTATAAATTAAGAGTTTTATGAATGTTTAATGTTCGAAATAGTAAAGATAAGTTATCTCTATTGTCAGGAATGTATAAAAATATTGTAAGGTATGTTTTACCACACACATTAAAGAAATTTGTAAATTTCCTTTAGAAAAGGTCGTTCTGCGCTCTGATTGGACGACGGGAATCATTAGTGCCGTGTACAAATTCATTAGTGCCGTGTGCAAATTCTATTAATTCTGATTGGTCACAGCTGCTTATAAAAAAGGCGTTTTTTGTGATAAAACATTCCAAATCCGGCAATGTAAGAATAAAGCATCAAGAAAATAAATAAGAAGAAACTCTGAAGAAGTGTTATTTATTGCTCATCTAACTACTACTGCATCCTCTCCAGTTAACATCCCGCCAGCATAACCCGCTCCATTACTAACATTCTCACACACGAACATCAACATCCGCCGTCACGTAGAAAAGAGAAAAGATGCAAAGTAATACGAACACTCGCGCGCAGCGACAAAAAAGTAACTTTTTTTTTAAATTCTTTTTTTAAATTTAGGGACTTAGGTTATATTAAACATGTCAGTCCCATTGTACCTAATAACTAAATAACAAACTACAATTTCTTAAATTATTAAACAAAAAATTTACTAAGTTATATACAATTTGAGCAGCATCAGATAATGGTTCAGACAAAATGCTGTGATATTCCCCTAGGTTACAAATTTTAATACCAGTTTTGGCAACTAATAGTTTCCTTTCATGATGATTTTTGGAACATTCCGCGAGCAAGTGTTGTACATCTTCTATTGTTTTGCATGTATCGCAATTTGGAGATTGTTTCTTTTTCATCATGAAAGCAAACTTGTTACACGGAATGTGTCCTGAACGAAGTCGCATTGCTAATACAATATATTTTCTATTCAACAGACATTGATTAGCCAAGGCACTTTCGGAGGCTGACTCTGGATGGTTTTGTACCAAATCCCTTTTTCTTGCGATCTTTTATCAAAATATTCTTTCCAAATTGTATAACATTTCTCTTTATATATAATTAAAATTTCTGAATAATCAGGATAAATATTATATTCTCTTCCTTGGGTGATTGCCAATTGCCAGCAAGCCATTGCCCTGTAAACCGATGTGAGACGGTACCCACTGCAATACTAACTCACGGTTTTTACATTGAAGTTTCAATATTTCATTTAATATCGAATATGCTATCGATACACCTCTGAGACCAGAGACGCATCGAGCAATATGTTCAAGAGCACTCTTGCTATCAGTTAGAATGACTGTTTTTTGAAAATTTGTTGTACCAGCATGTAATAATTTTTTTAACTTGCGAGCGCGATTAATCTAATTAATAATAATTATGTAGGCTATTAAACGTCGTCAAGTCAACATCAAAGGAGTGCAACTTCTGTACGTAGTACTATTATTTATTCTGTGGTACTAGCTTTAGCTAGTAGACCCATACCGATGATTGTCTTTTATTTTCCGGATCATATTAATAGATCCACGCCTTGTCACCAGTAACGATTTTGAAACACGCCTAGATGCCCCGTTTTCAAAAGGTACACGCATTTCATGGCACCAATCCACATGAGTCTGTTCTTCACTTTCGGAGAGCAAAAGAGGGATCCATCGACAACAAAGCTGCCTCACTCCAAGATGTTGATGTAGGATGGTACGAATGCTCCCCGAACTAATGCCTACAATCTTCTTGATGTCCGTATGTGATTCGTGTGTCTTCTCGAACCAACATTTCAGTAGTTCATACATTTTCTGCCGTTACTGCTGTTTGCGGGGTTGCAAAAGATTTGAAATTAACCTTTAAATATACCAAACTAACTCTTTTGTACTCAGCAAAAGTTAAAGTTAAAGTTACAGCATATATACGTCCCACTGCTGGGCACAGGCCTCCCCTCATTTCTGAGAGGGTTTTAGGTCAAGGAAGTGTCCGCCGCGCTGCCCCAATGCGTGTTGGCGAACTTCACATGTCTTCGAAATATTTTTTTTCTTATTTCTCAGACATGCAGGTTTCCTCACGATGTTTTCCTTCACCGCCGAACACGTGGTAAATCAGCACTTAAAATTGAAATTAACAATTTCATTGGTGCCGGCGGGGGATCGAACCCGGTTTGCTAGCGTACTGTGAAATTTACAGCGAGCGCTAACCATCTGAGCTACCACGGCTCCTACTCAGCAAACCACCTAAAAATTGTTGCGCGTAATGTAGCTGAGTTCCCTAATGCTGATTGTAATCGTTGTAAACTTAATTGTTCTATGAAACCAAATTTAAAATCATAATAGAACATAGCGTGTAAATGTTCACGGTTAAGATCCGTCGTTTTAAATGAAAATCGCGGGAAGCGTTCCAGGAAAATTACTTTGTTTTTTTTAATATTGAGCAATTGGCTTATCGATTTCTATTTTTAAATAAAATTGTTTTTTAGGAACATATAACACGGGTGCGTTCCATTTTTAAATTTCGAGCATCTCAAAACTTATTGAGTGACCTATGTATCTTGAGCTGTTTTTTCATTTGTTGTTCTTTCCTTGGCAGCTCATATTTTCCGTCGTGCCGGCTAATGTAGTAATTAAATTGTAGCAAGTATATTTGTCCAAAGACTGCCACGTGCCGCGTCCGCCATTTTGTATATACATATAAACACGTATTACTTTCGTTAATCGCGCACCCAATAATTTTCGGATCATTATTCCTGGAATCGAACCCGGGGCCCTGTGGCCCAACCATATTCTACTACCCCATTTTAACTTGTGAGTACTGTAAGATAGGCAGAGTGGATCTAAACAAGATGGGCAGCTATATCTTTTAAATCCAATCCAAATAGTTCCAGCTTGAAATATTAAAAATTGCCAATCAAATTGCCAAGTGTGGTAATTATGGCCAATATCCTCCCTTTTTACAGAACAAGGGTGACAAACCCACCCATGTTGTAGATGCTTCTCATGTTCTACGCCTATACTTGATTAAGAAACGAAATGCGGATGTGTTGTTACCCCTGAGGACCTGAGGACTAAGATGGAATGGCTGGTTGAAAAAAGGGTCTCAGATTCTCTCTACTCACCATATGAAACACAGCAGCATTAAGCTGCTATTTTACTTATATTGATGCCATGATTATGACACATGATGAAATAGAGCCATGCTTACAGCATGCATTACATAAAATTTTTAAACGCTTTTATTCACCTGATAAATGAATGTGATGAATTCATAAATTAATATATGAATAATTATATGAGATTGAATCCAGGACTTATGACATAACATGCACTTTACATATAAAATATAACACTTGATTAGAGAGAAGTAAAATACTTACATCTTTGAACTGTGTTATCTGACAATTCAATATCTGAATTGTCAGATAACACAGATCTGAGAGGAGATAATACAAATGAGTCCATTTTATGTTCTTGACCTATAGGTGAAAGTTTAAATGAGGCGTTGGACCTAGCTAGAGATCCGACAACACGAGATGGGTGAGGAGTTCTTGTATTTGATATGTTATTTTATAGTCTGAAACAAATAAGAGTTTAGAAAATTACTATTATTATAATTATAACAAATATATAATTACCGTAAATTAAATTAACCAAATAGCAACTCCAAATATTTGTACTATGCTATTGCAGCATAAGAGAATTGATTACCCAATTTTAAGGCTTCCAAAAGATGGAGGTGTAACCATCTCAATTACCTATATCAATAAATTGCACAGACCGGCGATGGGTGGTAGTATAATATAAGCAACGCCGTCTTAGACCATACCGTGGCCCTTGTGTAAAATAGTGTATGACAAAATGTTTTTTTTTTTGTTATGGTCTAATATTTGTTATAGTTAATTGTTTAGAATGAAATAATATGTCATTAATGAGGGCATCCACGGCTTTCTCTGCCACAAGGTCGGCGCTACTTTACAATGAGGTAAAATATTTGACAGATATCATTACGGGGATGATAATTTTTTAGGAAAATGTAAACTTTTTTCTTAAACTTTCTTTAAAAAAAAAGAAAATATTCTATAACAACAAAATACGTGTATTATTTTTGTTAATTTCAATAAAATTTAGGCTTCACTTGTGTAAAAACAAAATCTAATATTTGTCTTTGAAAATTATCTAAATCATTTGCCATCTTATAATGTACGTATATACAAGTATATACATACGTGCATTATACCTCAATGACGGCAAATGATTTAGATAATTTTCAATCACAAATATTAGATTTTATAGCAAATAATTGTTGTACTACGTTCATTATAACTCATTGTTTGTTGTTAAATCTTTTGAAATGTTAATTTTATTAAGCAGTACGAAATGATATATTTATCTCATAGATTATAAATACATATATTACCAAAAATTAAAAAAAAATCCAGACTATAAGTAAGGCGACTGTACAGCCCGACAAAACGTTAAGATGCCGTCGAAACGCGAAACTACATAGGTACTTTCTACCCAGGAAAACCTTTCTAGCTAACTCGGCAATATGTGGCTTGTCAATGCTCAGAGCTGCCTGAAATTCACTAACCACGCCCTCATTTACTCCATTTTTTTGTCGGGCTATATTTTAGAAAAAAGATTGTATAGCGTAAGCTAATAAGGTCAATGCCTTTCGTCACGGGGGCCCCCGTGACGATGGGGGCCCTGGGCACGGGCCCCGTGTACCCTTATGGTAAAGACGGTACTGATTATAAGTGTGAAACATGGAGCATATAGATTTTAATCTGCATACCAAATGTACAACAATAATAAATATCAATTATGGTTAATTCTTCCTACAAAGGGAAGTCCCATAAAGAAGCAATATTCTTTGTACCTCAAGTGTTTATTGGCACATTATGATCATTTTATTCAAATTGGGACAATGGGCAATACTTTGATTTAGGCTATTTCATAGTTTTATTACGACACACACTTGCACCGTAGATTCAGTGGACTTTTACTGATTTGAAATTTGGATATTAAAAAAAAATTCCCCCCTACAAAGCCACTACTGACACCCCCAGTCTCATTAGGACTACTTCCAAGTTGCCATACTTGGTACATAAACATCCCAATTTTCCTTCTTCCCTCTCAAACCCAGAATTATCTATAATTACAAAATAAATAAATAGATTTTTATATTAAAAATAAAACATATTAGCAACTAATAATTGCAACCGCACAACTCCTGCAGAAGTGCAGGGGCTGCCATCATTATATAACAAATTTCAGCCACACAGTATAAAATTACTCGTACCCATGATTTCACTTACACTTATTTAAAGTAACACAACGGCACATTTGCAAATTTTAATGGATGCTTAATTTAGTTCAAATCGCTGCTTTTCGTTATTCAGTTTAAGGTAAAATTAAAAAGACGCCACCGGTAATTTTACATACACCCCCGAATTCTAAATAAACTTTTGTAGTCTTTAACTTTTACGTAAGCCTTAAATCTACTATTCATAAATATTCACATTCCATTCAATTGATAAAAGCTAATATTAACAATGAGGTACTTTATTAATTTAATCAATAAAAACTGCATATTGAACGAATTACTGAACAAACCTTTGAATTATTGCGCCGTCGGGTTCGGATTCTACCGCACAGATCACTAGTTATAGATAGCAGATATACTAGTTCTACTGAATGTTCAACCGAAATGACGACCAATGACGACTAGAGAACACTCAGTAATCCATAGAGTAGAGTAATCTCTGTCTACGACAGAAACAGTAATCTATAAGAAAACTATTAGGGCTAGGGATCCGCGAGAAGTATCGATACCTGAGTAGTATCGATAATTTTAGACCAATACCTAGTATTTTTTGTACTCGATTTACTAAGTATCGATACTTTTGTCACTTCATTTAACTATCAGATAAAAGTCAGTGGATAACACTTCCTTTTTAATGTATATTGTTGTCTCTCTCGATGGAGTGACGATTTTAAAGGAAAAGCCTATTATAGTTTGAATAATGCATGTGGGACCAGGTAAATACATTTTATATATTTTGTAGCATAAATATATATATATATATATATAATATATATATATATATATACTAGCTTGCCATGCAGACGTTGTTCTGTCCTTTTCGACGACCCTTTGTCATGGCCTATTAAAAATCCTTAAATTCTCAAAAATACTTGTAGGTCACATATCGGCAAAAAAAACTATCCTATCTCTCAAGTTGGATTAAACTGCACACGGTGTGCAAATTTGATTAAAATTGGTTACATAGTTTAGGCGTCCGTAATCATTTCATCATTCATCATTACAACCTTTCACAAGTCCACTGCGAAACCTAGGCCTACCCCAAGTAATGCCACAAAGCACGGTTCTGAGCCACCTGCCTACATTGACTTCCTGTATATCTTACCAGGTCGTCACTCCATCTAGTGGGAGGTACACTACGCCTACCGGTACGAGGCTGCCACTCGAGAACCTTTCTTCCCCATCGGTTATCGGTTCTTCGAGCTATATAGCCGGCTCATTGCCACTTCAGCTTACTATAGTTCGGCCGTTAAGAGAACACTGACTCAACTGACACCTACCAGTTAGTCACGACTAGTGATGGGCACAACATAACACTGAGTTCGTTAACGTTCCTCCAAAATGAACCGCCGCGTTATTTTTAAGATTATTTTCGTTTTAAATTGGCGGAATCATTTAAAACTTATATTTTAGTCATTTAAGTGGACACCAAAAAAGGTAATATTAATAGAATAAAATTGTTTTATTTATTCTTTGTTACAAAGTTACAATCTGTATTTCTATGCAATAAAGAACATTGAATTGAATGTGCGTACAGAATATTAATCAGACTCCGATTCGCTTGAGGAGGTGGTGTCTTCATCATCATCTTCGCCTACATGTATAATTATATTATTATCAATAACAGAATCAATCCTGATATCTCGGTCAAAATGTTCCAGAATCAGGTTTTTAATCTTCTCAACAACCTTTGCCCAGTCATCTCTTGTGACTTCCCCGCAGGCTTCTTTTAATAGGGTCATCATCTTTTTCTTGCTGAATGGCGGGGAAGTATTGTGGCGGGCGGCATAACCTTTTATTTGAGCCCAGATTAGCTCAATCGCGTTATATTGGCAATGATACGTAACGCTCTTCCGATTTCGTATCGCACATTTGCCGCTTTATTTTCTTTAACTAATTTAATTAGCTCCGGTTTTAGCATCTGCATATTTGCTTCAATGCCTTTTGCTTGTAACCAAGCCACCATATCTTCTTTTTTATTAGCTTGGGTAGGTGGTTTCTGTATTTGAACCGAGTGATAGGCATTATCCATGAATATTACAGAAGGCTCTGGTAGGCTGGCCAAAAGCACGTTCTGGAACCACTCTTTAAATGTAGTGGCATTCATTTCCTCGTGATAGTCATTTGTGGTTTTTGATTGAAATGCCAGTAACGCGTTCTCCACAAAGCCGTATTTTGCAGAACATGCGTGGCATATTATCAGACGGGTCCCCTTACCCATTGGTACTTTCGACGTCGACGCTTGTGTATCATCCGTCCAAGAACGCCAATCACACGGTTTCCTGTGATTGGCGTTTAGCCATGTCTCGTCAATGAACACGACATTATCCCAGTTATCAATATTTTTTGCTTCTCTCAAAAAACTTATCCGTTTTAAAATTATGTCGTATCGTTCTAATAAAATTTTTCATTTGTCTGTTTTTTATACGAAAAACCAATATCTTTTATGATTTTGGTTAAAGCAGTTTTACCCCCGCTAAACAGTCCAGCTTCTCTTAACGATGCCAAAAGCTTCTTCCTGTTGAGATATTCATTTCTGGAATAGTAACCATATATATGATTTCTGATTGCATCGGCGTCAAAGGTGTCAATATCTGTCACGGGTTTAGTTCTACGTTTCTTCGGAGTACGTAAAATATTATCTTCCGTGCCAGTAGAGCCGAACTTAGTTTATTAATATTTGTTATCGTTCGTTTGCTAACTCCAAGAGCCTGAGAGACCCGTTCTTGTACTTGTTCGACAGGTAACAGGGGTCCGCCATTTTGCCGCTTCCGCTCAAAGTAATCTTGCAGCTTGATTATTAACTCACGGGCTCCATTTTCAATGTTTGTCCACGTTTAGGCATTATTATGCACCAAAAGTAAAAAGAACGCAATACAAAACACAATCGAAGTCCGATTTAGCACCGATGTCAGTTTGAAAAGCAGAAACAGTCCATTAAACGAAATCCGGGTAATCAAATAAAAACAGATCGAAAACACTTGAAGAACGTGGTCTATGCGCACGAAAAGACAACAGACGACTGTTTTAGCGTCACAAAAAGGCGGCCCATAACGCCATTTGGGGTTACCATTTTCAATCTAAATATAAAAATGCTACTTTCTTTCGCGCGTTCGGTTTGGTCGTAGTTTTATTT